ACCCCGCACAACATGATCTACTCGACCACCATTATGGTTACCGCCAAAAAAAAAAAACGGGGGGAAAAAAAAAAAACGGTAACCTGGTTGCCGAGTTCACGAAGTGAATTGGCTTGTTTTACAACGTCTTTGCCAAGCGACGAAAACCCAATCCCGATGGCAAAGGCCGGGATGGGGTGTGTAATCATGTAAACGCGTGCCGTAGTCGTTAGATCGTTTAAACTCGCATCCCAGGTTTCCTTTCACAAGGATGAGCCAGAAGCTGGCCATCACCCTTCGCGTGGGGGGGCAGGGGGCGGGGGGCGGGGGGAGGGGTACTCAGGTGCAGACCCCCTGTTTATTTCTTGACCGATGGTCGGGCACGATCGAGAGAACAAGCACCGGCGGCAACACACGAACCCGTAGCCAAGCCACTTTTTTACGACCCGTCAATGCTGCCACTGCAAGGCAGAGAGAGGTGCCTGTATCCTACTACAGTGTTGATGTTGCAGTGGGAAACGAGATCGAATCACCGATCAAAGTTGGACAAGCTGCTGCTGCTGATAGCCGTCGGTCTCTGTACCCTACTACAGTTGTTGCAATGAGAAACGCGATCGAACCACCGATCAAAGTTGGACTGCTGTGCTGCTGCTGCTACTACTGATGCCGCCGCCGTGCCCGCGATGTGTGTTTACATACCTGCGGAAGGTACTGCTTGTTGCAGCTGCCGAAAGCCAACCTAGTGATGCTGCTCTCCGAGGAAGTGGTTGCGGCTCCCTTCCTCTCGCCCAAGACGGCTGCAGCATCAGCCTTACAGCAACAGCAACAACGACACCAACGATGACGTCATCAGACCAGCACCAACCACGACGACGACGACGACGACGACGACGACGACGACGACATCATCATCAGCAACAGCACTAACCACGAAACAATCGCAACACTGCAACAACAACATTGACGATGGCGTTCATCGTCATCATTCAACAACAACGGCGACGACATCGTCTTCCACAACAGCAGCAACATGCAAGACGAACAGCGCCGCCAACGTGCACACGTCGCCATGACGGCGTGAGCCATCCGAGTAGGTCAAGCGTCAGACAACAACAACCAGAACACGCTACATAACTGTATGCAGACAAAAACACACATCGTGGAACTCAGCAAGCGCTGCGAGAGAGGAGTGCCAGTGGACTCAAGGCAGCGAGGAACCCTACTGCAGTGGGATACCCCCCCTCGTCCTGCCCGACCCCAGTACAGAAACGAGTTTACATAACTTAGGATGGAGAAAACTTATTGGTACGGGACAAGCAAAATGAGCGAAGGGTAATGGTTCGTCGTATTGTCCTCAATCCTTGCGACAACTTGGATTGACAAATCCGAACCGAGCCTCCTGTCCGTCTGCCTGTCTCTCGGTTTCTCTCACACACACGCATTGACGTCTTTTCATTCACGTCTCTTTTCATGGGTGAACCGGTTAGCGCGATCGATGCCAACAATACACACACACACACACACACACAGCACTCACCGCACCGAAGCCACTCGATCGCATGACCAACAGCCACGAGCCTAACGCTATCCCTAGAGGAATCGCCGTCGAACGATGACAACGGCCGCCATTCCTATCCCGACGCAACGTGTACCCGGAGTCCGGCATGCCTCCTCCTTGCTCGACTACTGCAGCAGAACCAAAGACGGTGCCGAAAATGGCGGGGTTTTGAACCATCTCGTCGAGAGTTATCCGGACAAGTGGCATTACAGTCGACCCCGCCTTAAGGACGCTCGCGTTAAGGAAACTCCCCGCTTCAAGGAAACTTGTTTTGCTGAGCACCGGGGGCCCGGCAGAATATACGATAATGGATTACCTCCATTTTTTCTGCCGCGGACCCCCTTTTTTGTGTCCTGCGGGCCTGCGGGCCGCTCTTTGCACGAACCACGCACCACAGTGAGTGCAGAAGTAGCGACGCACAGACAGCAGAAGTAGCGAGCGGTCTGCTGCTGCAACTGCAACTGGGTGTGGGTATGGATAGATTCCTCCCATCTACCGGCGGTCCATCTGATGCCGCCAAAAAAAGAGTCGTGCATAACCTCGTCCCTCACCGAGGGCGAGGCTACCTCTCGATTGGAGGACGTTCGATCCTACAGATAGCGCCCGCAGTTAAGAAAACGTCAAAATCGGTTCGAGCCTCACCAATCCCTTCTTTTGGGTCGAAGTACCGGCCCAAGTCGTCCATTTCGTAAATGGTATTTCTTCTTCCTTTGGACTGTCGCATCCTCCCGATTCTCATATTCCTTCGACTACAACAAGTACTTCGTATTTTCTTTTTTCTGTCTTTTGATCTCTGAGGACAATCCACATCATCAAGCCCTCAAGAGAGGTGGTGGAGAGTGCCATCAAACCCGTACAACAGC